TGAATGGTAAAGGGACATCATCTGCTTGTACTGTCTGAGGTGAGCTTTGGGATCAGATCGTTCGTCATAAGTTTTGAATCTTGGCACTGTAAACTTTTTTAGTACCTCCATTTCTCGAATGTCCCTGATAAAAGGGGATTATATGGCTTCGTCATCGGTGTCATCCTCTTGAATGACCTTACTCCTTCTAGCATCCAGCTGAGCTTTGAGGTCGGTTCCCAACTTAGGGGGAACCCCTCCAAGGTCCCTGTGCGGGCTAATGGGGTGCCTCCTTCCTGTGTGCCGAGTAAAGAGGGTTAACCCCTCAAACTCCTCCATGCCCCCTTGCCTGAACAGTCCCCGATGGAGGTCATCCCAAGTCAAAGGTCTTGCCTTGTTTGCCTGGACACCCAGGGGATGCACTTTGGCTCTTGGACGCTTTGGAGCCTTAGAACTTTTTGCTTTATTGTTCAGGTGATTTCGCAAGTCTTCGGTTTTCACTTCCCTGATGGAGGGTTCCCAGGAACAGAAAGAGTTTCTGGATCCTTCGCCGGAAGCCGCAAATTCGTTGAGACAGCTGAGGACATTCACGTTATCCTTTTCTAACTACCGCAATCGACCCCCAAACTTCTCATCGATCATTTTCGCCAGTTGACTGGCCAATGGGGCGGATCCTCCTGATCTGATGCCCATACTGGTTTGGCAGGTATGCCCCCTCGATTGAATGGAGATATTCCTCTCGACGCCATCAACTTGGTCTTTCATTCCAGAATGAGAAGGAGCTTGTAAATCGAGATTTTTCTGCTGGGGACCCCTTCCTTTTTGTCGAGTATTCACCATGGTCACTGTTCTTTGGAAAAACTAATCGTTTCCCATAGATGGCACCAGATTATACCTGCAAATTTCTGCATAATATATATGAGAACAGATTTCTCCCGTGGTGAACACGATCCCGTCGAGGTAGCAGTCAATTTTACCTCCTGAAAATAGGTTCAGAAGACCTAAGGAGTGGTGATGAATTATTTGTTGGGTCGCCTGACTGGTCCTAGAAGGCTATAGGGGGATCCTGGGACACAGAAAAATGAGTTAGAAAAGCGTCGGAGTATTTTTCAGCGTATCCCCTCCAACGATCAAATCAGTAGCTGTGAGAGTGGGGAAAAAGAAAACACTGTATGGCTCTCTAGAGAAGTTCTTGCATCCCTTTACAATGCATTTTTGAGAACTATTTATACCTTCAAAGGNTTTTAAATAAATCTAACATTCTAAATAATTCAACATAGTTATAGAATATCATAACATAATTAAAAGCATATAATCTACAATATAATCTAACATAAAAAGAACCTAAAAATCTACACTTTTACAAGTAAAAAACATGAAAAAAATTAAAAAATAAAATAATTTTCAAAAGAAAAAATTATTTAATAATATTTAGATTTGTATTCACAACAATATGTATATATATATCAAATAAAAATAATAATAAAGGATAAAACGGAGTGGGGACAGGAGAAACGGGGCTGGAGCAGGGGTAAGTGTTAGTCCATCTCTGTACGGGTTTATACGAGTATACCTGTATACGTTTATCATCTATTACATATGGTCCATCTCAGATCCAAAAAAAATGAGTTTGGACGAATATCTATTTGTTCCCGGTCAATAACAACTACTATTTTATTGGATATACTACACACATAAACCNCCATTACATATGGTCCATCTCAGATCCAAAAAAAATGAGTTTGGACGAATATCTTTTTGTTCCCGGTCAATAACAACTACTATTTTATTGGATATACTACACACATAAACCATCAGTGAGAAGTGAGAACGCCTCTAATAACTTTTTGTTTTAATTTCTTTTAAGATATATCACCTAGCATGTAACGATAGCATACCCAACAAATAAGTAGTGGATTCTGAAAATGTAGCCTTCAAAAATTTAAAAAGAACAAATGGGATTGGGAGAGAATCCGAATGTCACCACAAGTGGCTTCCTGGCTCAACTCCACATAGTTTTGTCGGCCACTGTTATTAGATGTGGTGTCTGTTAGCAAAAGCTTATGATTCCTCGTACCGTCCCTCAAAGCGGATGCTCACTGTTTCAATTTCGAATTGGATAAGGATAATATTCATTTATCAGGGTTGAGTAAATTAAAGACAGTCCACAGTTTCTAAATAATCTACTCTCTGCTTCTTAATCTGTAGTACATCCAATCTCCATGAAAGCATAAAATCGTGGTCATCTATATTACCCCAAACTTCATCAGCCAAGTAAAAATGCAAAAATTTGTGTTTAGGAGAATGAATAAAAAAAATAAATAGATAGAAAAATGAGAGTAATACATTTTCTATCATTCAAGAAGAAAAATTATCATTCCCTCATTTATATTTGATTGGAGAGTTGAAAAGTAGAAAAAATTAATTTGTTTTTTTTTTAGTTAGATGAAAAAAATATATATACATATTTTATCATTATATTTATATATGAAATTAATGAATACATAATATGTAATAGATAAATATGATGTTTGAATACATCTAATGATATATAGAACAATAACATATATTTAATCCGAACGGGTAGCTCAAGTAGTNTTAGTTAGATGAAAAAAATATATATACATATTTTATCATTATATCTATATATGAAATTAATGAATACATAATATGTAATAGATAAATATGATGTTTGAATACATCTAATGATATATAGAACAATAACATATATTTAATCCGAACGGGTAGCTCAAGTAGTAATAGAAACGAGCTGTAAACTCGAACGTCCTGAGTTTGAATCTTGGCAACCCTTTGAGACCAGACTATAATTCTCATGAATATCCTAGTCTGTCGTGAATGGTCTGTCTTTGATCAGACAAATGAGGAAATTAGTCGAGATGCGCATTAATTAACCTAGACACACCGTTGAGCCACAAAAAAAAAAAAATTACTTGGGGCTATCCCACATCGAATAGCCTTGGGGTTGGGTGTGTGTATAAGATCCTATGACACTACCACTTTTAAGTGGCGGTGTTGTAGTGGTCCTGTGTGTGTGTGTGTTAATCGTTTCTTTCGAAAAAAAACAAGTACCTAGAATTTGTGTGCGTGCGTCAGCCCCACGGGTCCGCTGTGGTCTCAGTTGATTAGGGGCTGGGACTATCCCACATCAGATAGTCTTGGGGGTTGGGTGTGTGTGTATAAGGCCCTATGACACTACCACTTTTAAGTGACGGTGTTGTAGTGGTCTCATGTGTATGTTTATCTTTTCTTTCGAAAAGAAAAAAATTACTTGTAATTTAAAATACACATAATTAATTTTTCATCTACTTTTTCTTCCAATTTTAAAGAAATTTACTTTGATAAGTTGGAAATAAAACTAATTCATCCACTTTTACATCATTCTTATTTTTCTTTCATANCCCATGTGTATGTTTATCTTTTCTTTCGAAAAGAAAAAATTACTTGTAATTTAAAATACACATAATTAATTTTTCATCTACTTTTTCTTCCAATTTTAAAGGAATTTACTTTGATAAGTTGGAAATAAAACTAATTCATCCACTTTTACATCATTCTTATTTTTCTTTCATATCAAACGTGATATTTTATTTATCCCTTTAATTTTTTATACTTTCACTTCTTTATCATACCAAAACAAAGTATTTAAAGAAAAAAAAAATTTATCGGATGGTAATTCGAATGAAAAGCCGTTCTATTGTCTATAATAAATTAGATATGTGTGATTTATAAATTATTTGGTGCGTTTTGNGGAATTTACTTTGATAAGTTGGAAATAAAACTAATTCATCCACTTTTACATCATTCCTATTTTTCTTTCATATCAAACGTGATATTTTATTTATCCCTTTAATTTTTTATACTTTCACTTTTTTATCATACCAAAACAAAGTATTTAAAGAAAAAAAAAAATTTATCGGATGGTAATTCGAATGAAAAGCCGTCCTATTGTCTATAATAAATTAGATATGTGTGATTTATAAATTATTTGGTGCGTTTTGAATTTGTATTATAATTATGAGTCCAAAAGGTCTGTGGTTAGAACTATGGAGGATCGTTGAACATGGCTGCCCAGGAAACCAAACTTCGCCGCCCTTGTAGTAAATTTTAAAAAAAGTAAAGACAAGATTGAAAGCAATCGTGGATCTTTCTTTAATGTCATTTCCTTGAAATTATCAAGTGGGAGCCATTCAAGTATGTCACAAATGGTGTAGAAGTCAATCCAAGAGAGCAAAATTCAAATTAACTGTAGAAAACTTTCAATGGATCTAGTGTGCTATTGTCATTGTCCTTATCTTTGATTATTATCACCATTACTATATGTTGAAAGTTCAGGAAAATAATAATGGAGGAGAGAGATTAAAAGAACCACTTGTTAGTGTCAAATCATCATTCTTTTCCCACTTTCCCAAGACAAGCCTTCTTTGGCCACCCCACCAAATTTTCCTTTGATTAATTTATTACAAAATTAGCCATCAGCTATAATTTATTAAGATTGAACTAATTATTCTCTCAAATTTAACAATTAATCACCACGACTTAAATTGAATTAAAACATATCCCTTACGACATGTTTGGAACCCACCCCCTTGGGTTTGCCCAACCCCAAATATTTAAATTTAATACACCCGACCACTTATGAGTTATGATATAAATCCTGTGTTTAGTAAAATTTAACAATTAATCACAGTAATTTAAATTAGATTAAAACATATCCCTTGGGGCATGTTTTGAACCCACCCCCTTGAATTTTTTTTCTTTTTTATGGGTCCCCTTGGGTTTGCCCAACCCCATATACGTAGATTTAATACATCCGACCATTTATGGGTCGAGATATGAATTTCGAATTTAAAAGTGATAACTAAACGCGGGATTATGAGGTCTATCGGACTATTTTACAAGCCCCCAAACCTGATAAACAAAAGGCTATTAAGGGACAATGGTGACCGGCTTTTAGGGGTGTAAAAAAGAATTAAACCCGAGCCCTTCTAGCCATTACAATCCTCAATTTCATTATTTGTAATTTCAAAATAATTGTGACACTCGTGAATTTCAAACCAAATTTGAATGCATACAAACATATATGAAGCAACTTTTCTTCAGTACGTAGATAAAGTTTATTAATCCGAAATACAGAAGATAGGGACAAGCCCAAGAAGAAAATAGCAAAACAAACCTAAATTCAACATATATGAAGATTTTCAAGCTCAACAACAGAAGCGAAAACCATAATACATAGAAGTTTTGGTGACCTTTCTGCCTTCAGTACTTGAAGCTTATTTAGTTAACGGTAGGTGTGTTGATACTGTGATGAGACAAAATTGAAAGAGCTGCCTGCAAACTTGACTCCTCAAACGGTAAAACCACCTGCTGTATATCCACCATCAACAACAACAACCTGCCCTGTAATGTATGAAGCAGCAGGAAGGCAAAGGAAGGTCACAATTCCTGAAATCTCTTGGGGCTCTGCGATGGGACGGAGAGGAGTACGAGCCATTAGTGGCATGAACATCATCATGATGGATGGATCCATATCCTCCTGGACAAAACAAATAAAATCAAACCATCAACAAAATTCTTTTTTAGGGGAAACCAAAACAATTGACACAAGAATTACTCATGGAGTTTAGTAGTTCAGATTGTAGAATAATCATACGGGTTTCATAACAGTGGTTCTGACACCCCATGGTGCAACTGTGTTGGTGCGAATGTTGTCCTTTGCCCATTCACAAGCCAAGTTTTGTGTCATTTGATTGATTGCAGCTGAAAGAATGACGAGAGTTGTTAAAATTTGAAATCTATTTCAGCAATGACCAGGAAATTTTTGCTTGGATAACAGAAGGATTACCTTTGGATGCTCCATACACAGTTTGGGCAGGTAGGGCCATCACACCAGCAAGAGAGGAAATGAATATAATGCTTCCATTTCCAGATGCTTTTAGAAGAGGGTGTGCAAGTTGGCACAACTGGTATGGGGACTTGACATTGGTTTCCATTATACGATCGAATTCTTCGGAAGTGTAGTCTGTAGCACGTTTGAGTACACTTGTTGCAGCATTGTTTACCTAAGGCACACAACAAGAAGTTGCTTTTAGAAACTTCATTCCGAAGGCATAGGATAAATACACCAAGGCAGTTTACTGTGAGAAAACAAAAATAAAGAACATAATAAAAGGAATACTAGCATTTTATGGCTTAATTAGAGTCCCCTATGTGACTGATTGAGGAAACGCCTACAAATGGTCCAAGCCAGACATATTTACTCTGTAACTAGTTAATAAGGTAATATAAGCCCATGGTTGAATCCTACGTGCTGCAGAATTTTTACTTAGACTCGGGGCAAAATAAGCTAGCTTGGAAGCTATCCCATGTTTCCTCCTCCACCCCCCCCCCCCCTGTCTCTTTTACCCATC